GAAGCCCATCGGGAGGGGTTATTTGGTCACTGGGGAATCACATCCAACCTTGACAGCAGTTTTTTTTCCCGTGGTGATTTTTCCGCTTGATGCGCGCTGTATAGTTCCCCTTCTTGGAGAGACCGCGAATTTCAGGGGAAATTAGTAAGTGCGGCGATGTTTGTAGTTGGTCGAACCAGAGGAGGATATTCCCGGTCATGGTGTTCTGCACCATCATCTCACCCATGTGGGCGCTGTACTTTGCTGTGAGCTACATCTGTCTCTTATGTACTGCAGGCTTTTTCTCAAGGGGTGGAACAATCCCGACACAATCTACTAGATTGCCGAGGAAACGTCGGTGAAGGTCTTTCATCGAATGTTAAATAATTTGAAAGATGTCCACTTGGTTTCCACTGCCAGTAATGCAAAACTAGTCCAAGTAAATAACCTGGTACCCTCACAATACTTCAATAATATGCAGTACTGACCAGATATGATATTCTAATATGACTAGAACAGTAAGACGAATGGCACCGCTCACTACGCGCGATATCCTGGGGTCGAGCCCCGGATCGGCTTCTCTTTGAAATAACTGGAGCCTCTATTTACCCAGGGACGCTGTTCGGCTTGAGAGGGGGCACATTGCGCTTTCGCTAGTTCCTTTTGATAGTTCCTGGTAGATAAGGACCCCTTTTTCGTAGACCTGTAATCTCGTGTGAAGATGTACAGTGGAGCAAGCGAGCCATTTTGGTCACAGGAATTCACATGTCTTTGCAGGGCGGCCTGCAGAGGGTTTGCTGAGTGCCAGGTGCCAGTCACTGCCCTCACTGAGCCGAACTGCACCTTTAGGCCCGTGAATCGGTACCATAATTGCTCAGAAGGGTAAAAATTGGCTTGCTCATCGGCAAGTCACTGAGGACTCAAAACTTCTGAAAACCTCTACGTTCCGCAGTGGAAGTAAAATTTGTGGCGCATCCAAGAAGGGGAGTACTCAACGTACTTAACTCATAGTGTTACATCTTTTCCTCCCAAATAACAAATGATTTTTGCGTGATGCGTTATCCTGGTGCCTTGTTGCGATTCTGATAGCACCCATACTACTGCAACGAGACTCGCGAACAAACTGCATAGTTTTGAGTCTATTTTGTATGTTTTCTTCGTAACTCTTCAACACAGCCCTGATCCGGATTCTGATCAACGAGCCGAAATGTGGGATCGGTATGGGATGCGCCACGCATCCTTTTCTTTGCTCTGAATAATTTAGTATGATTTTTCAGTGCGATCTGTCCTAAGCAGTGGATTCCGGGTGCTAATATGTAGTTTAGCGCTTCTATTTTCCTAGACGAGCTCCCCTTCGATTCACTGGCTCCAAGGTGATGGATAATTTCCTTTGTTGACCATCAGAAACGAACATTTGGAAAGCCTTAAAAAAGGTCCTCCGTTTCAACTAATCTTGAGCATGTCCTTGATTCGAAGTTGGACTTGCAGACCTAAACGGTGCTAATTACCACTACAACGTCTCCTCTCGCTCATATTTACAGGCCAGTAATTACTCCTCAGTTCCATTGTACTTTTTCGGATGCGACCCTTTAGTCCATACTCGCTCAGAAATCTCGTCCTTACGAGCGCTTTTGCAACATAGCTACAAACAACTGGCTAGGGTTCTCGTAATGCTCTGTATAAATTGTGTTAGTCGTACAGTAACTTGCAACAACCTTAAGAAATGAGTCTCCAACTTGTAGTATTACGAGCTATTAATAAAAAATTTCATTGTTGATTGAGATGAATCGCTTCTAATAAGCCTCTTAAGTTTTGATTTCTGCAGGACAAATATTGATTTAATCTTTCAAAATTGTTCTCCTTGCTTCTAGGTCTAGGTTCTCCATCCTCCTTCTTGCTCTTTACTTCTACTCCATAATCGTCCTTGCATTTTTTTTACAGTCAATTGGTCTTTACTTCCGCAGGTGTGGTGTAACTTGTTCGTTTATTCTGCCTCTGTTGATAAAAAGAGCCAAGCTGGCAGCACCATTCGATCGACTTGGGATGCGCCATGCATTCTTCCTCTACTTGTAATCGTAGTTAATAACTTTTCAGTTCGATTTGCCGCGTCAGGGAGTACAGATCAACAGTATTTTTTCCAATAGGGAATTCTTTTTTAAGTAGACATTGAATTTGTTGGGGAAGAGGAGGTACTACCCGTAAAGTTTTGCATCTTGCTCCGATTCTAAAGAGGCGTCATTCTTAAAGGGCGCAAGTTGGCAGATGGATGGATTTCTTGGCGCTAGAACAATTTTTTGCAGGTCCAATCTGGACCGAACGAATCACTTTTCATTGTGATTCCTCCTGTCGTTCAGGGCTGGCAACAAAATAAAAGGTATCGTGGGATGCATTTTCATAGCTTTGAACTTGAGGTGCTGAATTTTCAGTGGAACTTCCCTTTTGATCTTCGAAGGAATCTCTCCATTGATATGTATGTTAGAACTCAGGCTTTCTGAATATGTTTTATAGTCACTTATGAATCGTGAATGGGCGGCAATCGCAATCATTCACCATTTCATGACAGATTGTGACGTTGGTGGATGGGTGGATGTAAGGAGTCCACCAGATATGTCAAGTCTCGATGTCGCTTCGGCTTTTCACCAGAGGCTGAGGATCAATGTGCCGTCCGTCCGTCGTCCATCCGTCCGTTTCGACTCGAGCATCCAGCCCGAATAGAGAGAGCGCGATAGAGAGACCTCGTGGTGGCATTCTCTTCTTCGAGCTTGGGCTTTTCCGTCAACCACAAAGCTTTGCACCCCATAGCCGCGCATCTTCTCCCCCGCCGCTTGCCCATGATCGCCTAATTTTGGCATTTCTTGCTTGCGCGTGTCCATGGACTCGTCTCGTTAACTCGTCCGTCTGATCCCACCCCTTCTTGTTTTTATTCTAGCACCAGCTTACCACTTCCTTCTGATCACCTCATATCTTTCTCAAGCGTTTTGGGTCTTCTAGAACCTTAACGTTTTGTCCACGGGGGCCCTATAAGCGGATAAGAAACATTTAGCTACGCATAAACTACAAGGCTCGAGGGCTTGATGTTCAGTTTGTAAACCGAGCTTGACGAGCAGGCTTGAGCCCCAGATCAGCAGCACTTCACGCGATCGTATTCCCGGAACATATTTTTCCCCTATTCCTACCGCCTGACCTCTGCCTAATGCTGTACTACTATAGAATGAATTGCTGTCACTGGAACATCGTGCTCATAAGAACGCCATTATTGAAATGAACAAAAACAGCTACGGAACATTTCAAACTTGTACATGTGCGGGCTGGAGCATGACTGGGTGGTCTTGAACATGACTTGACCCATTTGAGACAAGCAGGCTTCCCTGCCGGTTTCAAAAGGTCCTATCTTTGTAGGCATCTACTAGGTGAACGACGTGAAAAGAAGTGAAAAACCTCTTGATTATTGCTTAGCTTCATTTGAATTTCCGAATCACCCCTTCACCATCTTGCCATTACTGGCGAGTATGTGTTATTATTAGCCTGAATAGTATAACTAAAGATTTATAACCATTTTGAGTATCTTTTCAACTTCCTGAATGATTCTGCTATTTCCATACTCTATGTATTATAGTTCTGAAGACGGCACATGGGGATGTATGACGGCAGTGTCTTTACGACCCCCCCCCCTCGAAAAGGGTCTTGGTGCAACCCTTTCATGACTTACGAAAAGCTTCCAACATATTCACTTCCTACCCACATCTCTTCAAAATTCCACCGTCGCTGCCGAAGTGCGAGTCCTACCGCCCAAGCCCTTAGCAATAAAATGCTCCCCCCCCACCCCATGTGATCCTCGATATGCAGTTATTTTCCTCTGCTAATGTTCCTCTTTTTACGTCAAATATCTTTCCTATGAAGATCCTGATCTCGCAGATGAAAAAAGAATTACAAGCCGCGTATATCACTGTTTCGAAGCCTAAGAAAGAGCAGTTCGGCTTAGGGGTGGGAGAGGCGGGGAATTTTGTTTTTTTGCTACTTCCCATTGATGTATCGAGCCACTGAAGAGGTTTGTGAGATATTGTGGAGCCATGAAGCATTACCTGTTGGGGTCTGAAGAAACTACTTGTCAACACTTGTAAAGAATACCTGTTTACTCTTCTGAAGCAATGAATACAACAATGGGAAGCAGCGAGAAAGCAAAATGTCACCTCTCCAAACCAAACTGAGCCCTCAAGGAGATACTTTGTGGAACATTCGCGAACTCACTTACCATCGTACGTCTATTCTTCCAAAATTGGTTGGTTTTAGGTATTGGTTAACATCGATTTTCAACCACAATACCAAATGGCGAAATATAAAATATATTCCAGTGCTCTATAGGTAGTCATGGGAATCCCCTTTGATTAGATATTTTTACCACCTTGAAATTGCGTGCTCTAGGCCAAGGATATAATTTCTTGTATGCCATTCGAATGTAGTCCTACCGATTAGAAAACGCTGAAAAAGCGCCATCCGCTTTCTTAAGGCTCAAGTTCCTGAGCTGTGATTGTAGTATGCCCAACTTATGTTTTTTCAAATCGCATTTAATCATGTAATATTTCTTCAAGTCGCATTTAATCATGTATTATTTGCTGGCATACATTTTGTTACTGGTTAATGAAGCCATAAGATAGCTCACCAAATTTTCATCGCTCTACATTTTGCGCACGGCGGTTGCCATCGATTTTCATGAATTAAATTCAGTGTCTAAACCCGAAAATGATTCTTTTAGGGACTTCGTGACTCAGAAAATAGCGAGAAGCTTGACCGTGCTCTGAAGCGGATCGTGTCGTTGCAATCGCAACTGCGACACGTCAAACCCGCCGAGCCCCCGTGGAGTCAGGTATGGTCCAACACTTCGCCAGACTTTTCTGTATTTTCTGACACAATTTTCTGGTTTTTTACCTTGCATTTTTGTATTGGTAGTCTTGGAACTTTTTGAAGAATTGTGAGGTTCTTTTTACTTGGCCAAATATGAATTGTTTCAGTCTCGTACTCCAATGGATGGTGACTCGGACGAAGATGAAACGGAGAGTTTACCTTCGCGATATGTTGAGGTATGGGGTTTTATTTGAATGTCTGAAATTCATAAATGTATCCCAAATGAGATGGTGAGGGAGAAGATGTTGAGCATGTCAGCCAGCGGATTGTGATGAAGGCTATTGAGCTGTGATTTGGTTTGCCGCCAGACGAAACTCTACGAACCCGCTTGTTAACTGCACTTGCGTGTCCACCATTCGATTTCCCAAAGGAACATCAATTCCTCGAAGGACTAACCCACATAAAATTGAAACATGGCTCGCAGGATTCCACATGCTTGGTTTTGTAATCGGTAGTAGGTGTTAGGTTAGCGCAAAAGCTGCGTTTTACATTTTTCCCATTATACTTTTTTCCCCGTTAACATAGTAAGGTCACGTTAGGTTTTTAAAGAAAGTTATTTAGAGGATCTTACCAGTATTTAAGCACCTTATACAGTCCTCATCATTGCGGACTGTCGGAGGCGGCGTAAGCAGCGCGGTTCAAGTCCGTGTTCTGCTCCCTTGCTCTACCAATGGCGATCGAGTAGAAATCGATTTTGGAAGGAAACAACCAATGATAGAAACGCCGCATGTGGGAAGCGCGCATTGCGACCCGACAGCTGCGGTGATATCAAGTGTAGATGCCATATCGCTTCCTGATGCAGGCTGGCGCTACCCAACGTTGATCGTCTCGATTTTGACGTGGACTCGGGCTCGGGTCATGAAGCCTGCCTTTCTAGTCCATGCAATGAGTTAATTTGAAGAATCCGAAGGAACATTGCCTGGGCTCTGTATCGGAAGGTGTATCGACCTGCATTGCATGAGTTTCGGATTCACCTTTTTTGCGTGGTGGCCCTGTGCTGTTGGTCTGGCTCTGTGCTGTTGGGTTATAGGGACGAATGTTCCGCCCTGATAGACGATTCTCTCCAGCTCAGATAATTCTCTCCAGCTCTCGAAGCTGCTGCTGTATTTGAGATCGTGGCAGTGGAAACAACTCCAGTAGCTTCACAAGCCGCAGCTTCCTCAAGTAGAGCTCAAGCATCGTGGCCTCTCTTCGTTTTTGAAGCCGCAGTCTCCCACTTTGAAACACTGGTGTCGTGGAAGATTGTCTGTTGAAGGGGGAACGGGCTGGTCAAGTCAGAGCGGTAGAAGACAAAAGGTAGATGGTGCGGGCGCTGACGGTTCGGAACGAACTTGTTCAGGGCGCAGTTCGGCTTGGGCGGGAGGTGGGTGGACATTTCGCACGCTGGCCACTTCCTGTCGGCGTGCTTATTGCTTTTTAAGGGTTAACAGGTATTGTTCACAATACTTAATAAGTAGTTTCTACGAATGACTGGTATCGCTTCACGTCTTCACAAGATTTTGAAAATCTCTACTTGATGGCTAGACACGGCAGTGAGAGGTAGCGAAAATGCTGAATGCCCCCCTCCCCCCAAAGAACTGTGCCAGAGTGAGTTGGACCAACAGAACAAGTATCACCATGTGTAGCATTTTTCACACTAATGGTCACTCCTTTCCAAATGAGGAGAAGTATTTCAAATCTAAAAAATTTGATGAACTCTCTCGCCAATCTGACCCACTAACCCATGTAGGGTAAGTTGATCACCCATAGGTAGAGTCAGGGATAGTTGTGAGAAATTGAGAAGTCCAAACAATTTCATATGACATGATTGCCGAGAATCTGAAGTAACTCGTGTGAAATTTCAGATCGACAACCATGGTCCATTTTCGAATTTGGCCGAGTTAAAAACACATCCTGCTCACCTCGCTGTATTTATCAACTACTTACTATCTAATGCTAATCCGAATAGTTTGGTAAGTTGAACCTTCCATCAATTGGATTCATTAATGATTACGTTTACGTCTATGCGATGTCATAGAAGGCTACTGGGGCTAGTGGTAGGCAGAAGAGGGTACGCGACTTGCCACGGCACGACCCTACCGCGCTATACCCACTCGTCTGTGCCCTCTTGAAAAGATAGCGCCCGAAGTAGTTTGAAGTGATTAGCGGCGTATTTTGCGAGAAATCGAGTGCAAAGGAACAAGTGGCGTATGTTTTCCTTCAATACTTCGGAAGTACGTGACAACGCAGCGAAATGTGAGGCAAGGCGTAAGGCGGCATACTTGTGCCGCCCGTAGCCTCCCCCATCGACTTCTGCTCCAGCTTCTTCATCGAACTACCTGAATCATTAGAAGCTCCGACCATAGCAGTATTTTCCTGTAACTGTTCTTAAATTTGACTCTACTAACTGGCAAATGTTTCCATAATGGCTGGTTTTAATCGCTGCTTCTTCACTAAATATCTGCTTGTTATTACTCCATGTATAGGACTGCTTGATTTTGTTTACGGTATTTTGCTGGGCAGTGATACTCCGAATTGTTCCTTGTATTTATAATATTAATTTTGTAATAATCTGTGATATTATCCCATTATAGCTAGCATGGAATAGCGTCCAGTGGTGCCGCATGTCCTAGGGGTTCAAAGACAGCTCCCGCGATAAAAGTATCATGGATAGTTGCTTTTCAATTGTGAAACAGTAGCTGATGAGTAATTCCCCAAAGAAGGAAAAAGCAAGAAGAGTCCTCAAGAACACTATAAACAGAATCGCTCCTTGGCAGTCAACCTTCCTGCGGTCTCTGTGCAACCCCTGGCTCACAAATCCCTTTGTCACATCTCCCAGTAGTGGATATTATCCAATGCGATGAAAAGAATACGAACAACATTGAATACATGGAAGAAAAACTCTTGGAAAGGGAAAGAAACCATCAAACGCTCGGCGTCCGAATTTAAGGTTACGGTAGCGTGCGTCTTTCAGTGTAGTGTATGCGTCGAGCTGTTGCACCACGGAAATTGGGTCGCTCGTGATTTTTACGCGTTTTACCTTCCGAGATGGGTTGGATTTGATTGTATATGCTCCTGATAATAAAGGAGCAGGATTATTCATGGGCACGAGCGCGGTCAGCAAAGAGGACATGCAATTCCAATTAATGCCCGCCGCCCCAACAAAGAACAATTGAGCGGCCCTGAGTCGGGGGGGGGGGCATCCAGCAAAAGGGCAGTCCAACTGGGCGGGCGTTAGAACCAGAACTTTCAGCGGCTGTACTCGCTGCTCGCTCGCTGTAGAGTCGCGAGAGTGGGACAGTCTCTAGCTTAGGGGCTATGCTACTTGCACAAGGAAGGACGTCCATGTACTACTTGAGCGCGGGGGCTATCTTTAATGGCCCCAACGCAGGGGTGGGTGAGATCGCTCCGTCACGCCTGTTCCTTCCCCTAACCAAGGCTTAGACTCCGGACCACCAGCACCGAGAGATAGTCTCGCAGAAAAATCATTGTCCCTGCTTAGTCTTAGTCTTCCTTGGGTACGTGAAAGGGCACCGAGGCACTGGAGGCAGTGCCGAGTGATCCTCCTAACCACGACTGCTCCAGCTAAATCTGGGAACGAATCTCACCTACGCTATCCAAGCCCTCCGTACCTCTGAGGCTCCTTGATTGGTGCCAGAGTCGTCTGCTAGGATAAAAGCTGCGACTCACATATGCGAATCATTGTAGTGACCGAATCGTCTCTGGAATAGAGCTATGATCCCGAAATGACGTAGAATGCATGGAGCGTCCCCGAAAAAGAACTAAGCAGCATTTAATGATTTATCCTTTTTTATCAGCTTACTATTGTTGATACCAGTATGATTGCTCCATCATGCTGGCTCCACTTCACAGTTGGCCCTTCGAGTGCGTTTTCATTTGCCTACGCAATAGCGTGTAGTCTTCAAATAGCGTTGGAGACAATGTTGTTATCCCCTGCGACAAGTCTAGTGCTAACTAAATCACCCGAAAGAAAAAGAAGTTTTACTAATTGAGATAAGGTTTGGTCCTTGCGAACAATGCAGGAGGTCGCTCCTGCGTTTGGCCCAATATCTTTCAAGCTAATCGATACATCCGTTCTGTAGAAGATCCGAAGTTCCATGTTCTGCGTCGCTCTCTTTTCTGACAGGAAGTGACTGAGTAATAGAGAATCGTGGCGGTTTCTGTAGTGTGGGTATGAACCGCCTGGCTGCCTTTCTCTACCAATACCGATTTAGGAACATAACGCCCAAAGGGAAAAATGCCACGGATTGCGTTATTCTATTCCGCTTGGCGCCGCCCTGACTGCGTGGTATCGAGTGTATTACATCAAGTTTTGATATCTAGCAGTACCTACTGACAGTTGTAGACCGTTAAAAGAACGGTCGTATCACCCTAGAAAACGTTGTGGAAAAATCGCAACGGAATCCCCGTAGACATCTATTCTTAAACCAGCACCATTTCTCTGCTCGTAATGTCGGGGCCTGGAGCATCTGGAGTAAGGTACATCATTTTTGGGATAATCTTAACAGGAGGGGCGGTGCCTTACCTGATTGCTGGGGAGACTGTACGTGGTCTTGACAGACATTTTTCCGAGCCGCAAGAGAAATATTTCCGGTTGATGGTTATTCGCAATGTTCCCGTTTAATATTCGTTATATACGCCCTCGTATTTAACGGAGCCGTGCTATACAACCACTAATTTCACTAGTTGAAATTAAAAATTGTTTGGTGATGGGGTCGTCTGACACTTCCTTTCCTCCCATCCAGCGGCACTCTACGATGAACTGTTAATCAGTTTCCTAGTGGAAGTACTCTACCCTTCTGGTTCGACCTGTCCGTAGCTTTTTCGGAGGTCCTGCAGCGAGTACAAGGCGGATAGAGGGCTATTTTTGCATTAGGTGCCCGTTTTAGACTGCTTTTACTTTCTGGCTTTTCTCACCTGAGTTCCGCTGTTCTTGGTCAGCCGCTTCATGAAAATGTCAGTATTATGTCCCCGCTTCTGTTAAGAACTCCTTCTGATATTGTCGTCAACTTTACAAACGCTCGGAATGAGTTTACAAATTTTTTTTATTCTATTTCAAATTTCCTTTGCATTCACCATGGTTTTTCACAGTGCTCTTTGACCAGCGATTATCAAAGTGCTCTGGGATCCGAGACCTGTCGGTTTTACGGATTATGGAGGTACAAAGGAGAACACTGTCCATTTCCGTACGCTTCTGATTGGAGCGGTAATAAGAGCCCTAATTCGGCCGTTTTTGACAGTTTCGTCTCGTTTTTCTTTTATGTCATACAACACAGCACCTCTGATCCCGTTTCCTGCAGGAAACCAAATTATCGTGCCCACTGCCTTTGAGTCATGAAGTCAAGGTCTCCTCATTTAGGTGAGCTATCAAACATATACAGACAGAAAGGGCAGACATTTGCCGCGGGTTAAATATGCCCTCCAAGCGGTATAACTGGATTTCCAAGAAGGAGTTTATCTGAATTGTTCTATTGCGTGACAAATCACCATCTACAACTCTTTCACAGCGGGCATTAACTCGTGGGAATTGAGTGCCCTTTTCAAAATTGCTCTCGTCGATTCTTCAATAAACAGAATGTCCAAAAGGGGTCTTGCTTCTTGGAAATCAGATACCCTTTTTCATGATTTTCTGTTCGCCTCGTTTCCGTTTACAGCTAGTCAAGATGGAGATAAGGAGGAGAGAGTAGTGAAAAACGCAGAGTACGTCAGTCTACCCGCTGGTTTTTACCCACTGAAATATCCCACTGTTTGATGAACTACCAGTTGGATCTCCCACACAGGGTACAGCATGTGTGAAACACTGGTGTCAGTACTACTTCCCTCCGTAGAAAGATCCTGGTAATCCCCCTTCCCCAACACCCATCTACAAATTTCCCACATTTTCCCGTTTTTCACCCAGAAATTTTCCTTCGAGCTGGAGAAAGGGGGGAGGGGACAACAAACAACGACAAGTACGACCTTCCCTCTCCAGCGGCCAATTGCGACCTCCTCCCATGTCTTTCTTACAACGATGCTGTACCCTGCTCCCAGATGCCCAACAAAGGCAACACCTTTGTTTGATGAAATACTCCTTATTACTATCAATCTGTTACTAAAATAAGCTACCAGTTTTGTGAAGCTTCTTCTGTTTTGTCTAACTCTCTCAGTGGCTGTGATTATGTCACGATTGTCGTGAATCTCTGAGTAATGCCTAAGGCTTTGGTCGCGTCTGCCAGCGCAAAAACACCAATTTCAAGCTGGACGAACATTAGCCCCCGAATAAACAAGTGGTGTAGCGAAGATTAGTGAATTCGTGTGAATAATTTATTGAGAACGGAAAAAATGGGGGTCGTCTGGAACGATTGACCCTCTCGAGTGTGTACACCCACGAAGGTCGAATCCGCTCCATGGAAACCTTGGGTATCTAACACTTTCACTGCTAACACGGAAGTAGAAGCGCTTCGTTTGCAAAGGATGAGGTCGTTCCTTCCAGCGGTTTGGGCCGTTCACGCAACGCCAGCTGAAAAACTTACTGGTCCAAAAACTTGTTTTCTTCAAAAAGTTATTTTGATTGTTTTCAGTTCTTCTATATGATTACGGATGCCTTCCAAAATGCTCAAGGTGCGCCGAAGGATTTTCGACGATGGGCGTTTGAAATTTTTACAACGTTCGTCATACCGAACTCTCCGCTTGTGATTCCAAACTCTGATCAAAGTATTATTCAACCGATCGATAAGGTGAGTGGTGACCTATTGATCTTCTGTTTTGCTGACCTACTGATCTTCTGTTTTCGACCTATCATGAAAATGCAACGAGCAAAGCCCAAAAAATCTGTTTGAGGCAACTGTTCATCTAACTGGTATTCTTTAGCTGAGTGAATTGGTTCCACTGCTGTGAATTTTATTTATTTTCTTTCAAAAATTTCGGTATCCATTTCCGGCCAAGACTAGGCTTAGATTGATGGTCCATAACATTCGTTATCAGGGTACAGCGTCGTACTGAGAACCCCAAGGGGTCGTAATGAGATCGTAATTGGTCGCCTAGGAGGGCTGGGTCGTATATGCTTTTGAGCCTTTCACGATTTTTCACGTTTCATCTGCCGGCGCCGCTGAGCTTCCATACAACGACTATTTCAGACAGTTGATTGATAACTCCCCACCCCGGACCCTCCCTCCCCCGCTCGACGCCAAAGGTGGAAAATTTCTTATAAACGTGGTAAGAATTCGGGAACACTCAGGAAAATGGCAGGCAGCGTAGGATAGGGAAGAAGTGTGCTACCAGATGAGCTTTTCAGGGGGGAGGTCGTGAGAAGGGGTCGTGCCAGATAAGGACATATTTGAGTCGGGGTCATACCAAAATGGCCATTTCATGCTCTACGATGCGAGACCATGGTCTAAAATCCATGACCGAGACTCGAGCTCTGTGCTATTCTCTGCAAACCCCCGTAGTTCTTCTGCAGGCTTCAAATGCTGTCGCAGTGATTAATGGCTTTGGAATACGGTACTGGTTTCTGGCCTCGGTTTTTTTCTGGGTCATTGTCTGAAAGCCATTGGGAAAGAATGCGAAAATTATGCGTATTGGAAATGCCTGAGCAGGAGCTAAGCCGCATCCGTGCGGATGTAGGATGCCTCTCTTCGCACAGGAGCTGTACCTCACAATTCATTTTCCACTTTTTTTCAATTTCACTTTCAACATGCTCCTCCGTCTAGCCGACAGCTTGTCTGATGCGTAACTGAAAATTTAAAACATCTCAGTGGCATCTGTTTAATGAAAAGAAAAGGCTATCTTCACTATGAGTTTTGGTACTCACATTATGTATGTAATCCATTACGTATTCATTGCGCAAAACCATTTAAGTACATGCTGCGAAGCGGTTCTCAGGATCTTTTGTTTACTGGATGTTCACGTACAGGCCCTAAATGAATTCATCTGTACAGTCTTGTACGGTGCGGATGACGGGGCATAGCACTGCGGCTGGGTTTGGCGCGCTGCCAGCCCTTCTTCCACCAGTTGTTAGGGCAGGTGAGCGACAACAATTACTGGGAAGTAACTGATGTATACAATATGAGAGAGCTTTGCCGAAAGAAAAAAAAACGGGCTGGTGCCGCGCCAGACCTATCCCCCTGAACGCTCCCTATGATCCGCAGCAAAGGTTACTGTATGCATATCTTGTTTTATTATTATGCCATATTTTCCGCTAGTTTTGATTTTAGCTGGACTGTTGAACTTTTTTTATCTCATTATTTGGTATAAGGTACTTATTACCGATGGTAAAAGAAGAGGAAACACGCTGTCTACTACAGTATCCGATAGAAACACGCTGTCTACTACAGTATCCGATAAAAAGAAAAAAAGAGGTCAACTGCTATAAAACATACCTTAAAGAACAAAAAAGGAATTGAGTAGTGGAACATGTGAAAGACAGAGTGGAGGGTTTACTGCTCATTATTGGTTTCAAATTGAAATTGTGTGCATTTTGCACGGCTAGGGTTGAATTTATCTCAAGTGCTGTACTATGTGGAGCTTTTTTCGCCACAAATACTGAAGCTGCAGAAAATGATATTATGGAGAATACAGGGTCATAGAGGGTCCTAGCTGTCTTCAACAGCGAATATCTTTTATTCAGATCCATCGCCACTAGACATCCGAACAGATCTGTGAATCAGATGTGGAAATTTTGAAACGGGTATTTGTTCCTGCCGACAACGTCCG